GAAACAGCCCAAATGCCCAACCACAACTGAATGGGTTAAGAAATTATGGTACATTCACAAGATGGAATACTATGCAGCATGCAGGAGTGATGATTCTGTAAATTACTACCTAACTTGGGAGGGACTGGAGAGCATTATGCTAAGTGAACTTAGTCTCATAAGGACAAATATTGTATAAGACCATTATTGTAGAATGTGTATGAGGATCCAGCAGGGAGAGTAGAAGAGAAAGGTTAAGGATGTTTGGGGGTGGGGATGGGGGTTAAGTATAGGGTCATACGATTTGGTGGGTGGAGGGGTGGTGAAGGAAATGGGAAAGAGCTGGTGCAAAAAACAATGTATATGAATTTTGTGAGTAAACCAGTGTTGTTGTTGTTTTTTTTAAAAAAAAATACTTTACTGAATGAGACTAAAAAAACTCAGTCAACACTACTGACTGGTTTGAAAGGCATGACAATGGAAGGTCTCTGTTAGAATAAGAAGGAGCTCGGGCGGCACTGTGTTCCAGTAGTTCAGATCACCAGCTGCTCCAAGGAGGGAGTCTCCTCCATAAAGATGTACAACCTCGAAACTGATGGAGGACCACAATGAATGGTTATTTATTTTATGGTGGCGAGTTTGAGTTACAGTAGGGGGTAAGTGTGGGACACCACTTAGTATCGTTTTAAAGGCCATGTTGACGAGTCTGATAGAGATTGGTGGAACTCCTGAGACTTTGGACCTTAGTCGCCCCTCCAGCTTGGAAGTGCAATGACCTCTGTGACTCGACATTTAGTCAAACAATGAGCTGACTGACCAAAAACAGCAGGAAAGAACACACTCCTTCAAACAATCTACTGCACAAGGTCAGATGGGTAGAATTTACCCAGGGATGAAGCCCAGAAGGAAGGAAACTGGATAGGAGGGTGAATGGGAATTGAAAATACAGGGAGGAGATGGGAGAGTACTGCAGCAACATGGGTATTATAATCAATGCCATGAAACATGTTGTTGTTGTTGTTGTTGTTGTTATGTGCCATCGAGTCACCTGAGATTCATAACAACTATATATACAATAGCCCCACACCCTGCTCTATCCTGCGATGATCTTATTGTCTCTAACATACCTACCCTCATTACCCCAGTCACTGAATCAATCCATCTCATCAAGGGTCTCTCTTGCACTGTCCCTCCACCCTCCCAAGCAGGACATTGCTCTCCAAGGACTGATCCTGCCTTGCAACATGGCCAAAGTATGTCAGACAAAGAAGCTTCAGAATCCTTGCCTCCAAGGAGCAGCCTGGCTTCACCCTCTCTAGGATGAACCTGTTTATTTTCCTACAAGTCCATGGTATATTCAATACTCTTCTCCACCACCACAGCTCAAAGGCATCAATTCTCCTTCTATCATCCCTAGTCATTGTCCAGCTCTACGATGCATAGCAAGTGATTATGGCCTGTATCAGGTGCACCTTAGTTTCCAGACTGACATTGTTGCTCTTCAGTTGGAGAGGTCTCTGACAGCAGATTTCCCCATCTCAATGCACCCTTTAATTTCCTGGTTGCTGGTGCTAAGAGTGTTGATAGTGCATGAACTATTGAGTGGAAAGCCAATGCTCTCTGTAAACTTTCATTCAAGCCTTAATAAAAAATAAAAAAAAACCCTTTATACAAAAAAGTGAAGACACACTACTGACTAGGTTTTCATATATATGAAAACCACTAAATCTGGTTAGAATCTAATAACCAACACAAAACTTCTACAAACAAAATAACGAAGAGATGAATGGCACATAGGCTTTTCATTGCCTGATATTTTCAGAAATAAGTTGCCAGGCCTTTCTTTTTGTCTGTCCTAATCTGGAAGCTCTGCTGCATCACAGCAACACTCAACCTCCTGGCAGAAGAATGGCACTGCGCCTGAGGTGCACTGACAGGGACTGAGCCAGGATCACTATGAAGGATGAGAATTCTACTGAAACTGCACCGCCTCCATCCTAACGCTTCTTCTGCATGAAGCACTGTTGCCTTGGCTGTCTTTTCCACCAAACTATGGGCCCTGGGAGAAGAGCAAGGTCCCCAGTCTCTCAATACAATTTTTCATGGCACCCCAGCAGCAGAGGTCTGCTCCTGGAGGCAGGGACTTATGCATGCAGCAGACATTTGTTAGGTACCCTCATGAGAGAGTAAGGCACCATCTGTATACGCAGCAAGTGTTCAATGAGTTAATGGCACACTGAGGCATTCAACCACCTCCACACACACTCCACAGACACTTTGATCTTTCGATGTTCTTTATTCCCAGAAATTCCTATCAGTTACACACTGAGCAGATGCTTATGACATTAACTGAGAATTCATTTTCCCTTTGGTACTGTAATTCTTTTTTTTACTGTGATTTTAATAAAGTTTACAGAAAAGTTGGATTTTCATTCACTCATTGTTGTACATTTTCTTCCCTACCCACCCTGGTGTTGTATGTAATCCTGTCTTTATATCCAATACTGGGTCAGTGCCCAGAAGGTTAAAGAGGTCTCCATCCACCACCAGGAGCAAAGGGCACCCATGCCAATCAGTCTTCAATGTCTGGTCATCTTGTTTGGTTCATAGGCAAACACCTTTGCAAGTTTAGTATGTGACAGTCTGACAGTGAAATAAATAAGACACAGTGCAATGGTTCTAGGCATTTGAGAGAAAAAAAGGCACATTATCCAGAGTCCCCTGGAGAAAATGCAGCCTGTTCTCCGTCTTTTCAATATGCATTTTCTCACCCTTCAGCAATTTTTAATCTCACTCCCTAGTCTATGAAAAACTACAATCCATGTGCTACCAAGCACATTTTTATTTTTCCTTCATGGTTCCAAGTGTATTTCTGCTCTCTCCCTTATGCCTACAAGGACACCCAATTTTCATTCAAGTCCCTTTTAATGGCACTTAATAAATATACATTCTGGGACTTGACAGAAAAGGCTGTCTCATTTCAAACCGCCTCCAGAGCTGCCTGTTTGGAAGAGGCCTTTCAAATCATCCAGTACAAAGCTGAGGCAGGTCCGTGGGAGCCAACAGCTCACAGATGTCTGAGTTCGGGTCTATCTCCTAGACTGCTGAATCTCCAAGTGTGCACCTCTTGCCATGCATTAAAAATCCCTGGGAGGACTCTTACCAGCCCCACAGCCCAGTCCACAACCCAGACCACTCCAGCTGGATCTCTGGGGTGGGATCCTGGTAAGGGTGATGAGCTGGAGCCCACCACCATGCTAGCCCTTCAGGGGCTCCACCGGTACTATCTGTTCCACTACACTTCCTGTTTTTACAACAAATCTGAGCAGGAAAGAGAAAGGAAACTGAAACAAGAGTATCCTGTCAAGTGAGTCTGGGGCTGGGAACCGGATCGTGGGACTGAGTTTCTCTCGTGCTGAGCATTCACACTTCACAAGCCCAGAAGAGGAAAGTTACTGGCTGTCTGACACAAAATCTCAAAAAATACACAAATGATTCTCAAAAAGCCCTTCAAAAACCAGAGCTAACATCTTTAGGCACTGCGGTTAAAATAACACTGAGCTGGGCCTTGGAAACAAATTTGAACTGCCTGTTTTGACATACATTCTGACCTGGGTTGGCTTCAAGAGTTGTAGTCTGCATTAAGATCACCTTTTCCCACTCCTGTGAGTTTTACAGCGGCTCTATTGCAAAGTACCAACGAAGAGAGGAGGAAGCACAGATGTCTGTCCTCAGAAATGCCTGAATGGGTGAGTCTTCCATGAACAGGAACTGTTTTGAGGGGCTTCCATTCCCACGCTACAAAGAGATGAACAATAGGTTTGGGCTCGGAGTTCAAGAGATAGGCTACCTATAATAAGGTATCTGAAGGATCCTACAGTAGAAACGAGGTTTGTGGTAAAGGATACATGTTGATTACTAATGTCTGCAGTGAGCATGGGCATGGGAAAGCAGTGTGGAAGTTTCTATTTGCCAGCCTGTGCCAGCTGATGGCTGAGGACATCCTCAGACCAGTGCTTGTGTCACCTGCTACCAATGGTCAACACTGGCCTCACATGTCATAGTATACAGGAAGATTTCACTTCTTCAAGTCATTCAAATTACAGCCCTGGGGGTTAGACGTTTTTAGACAGGAAAACTGAAGTGGCGTCATGTCTGAGGCCACACACAGAGCCAAGGACATCATATCTACTGCTACTTCCCAGCCCTCGCTGGTCTCTTAGAACCACCTGGGATTCCCCCCTGGCTCCCCTGCTCCTCAGAAACCAAGACTTTACGTCCCCACCCACCACACGTGATTCACCTGCTTCCCAGAGCTTCCTCTAAGATTTGCATACCACTGGTCCCTAGTTCAAAGAACACAGCTACTGTGTACAACTGCAACCAACAGCCCATGAGCTCCACCTAACACGCCCCCAAAATCCCTTCTTCCATGAATCAAGCCCTGCATTTATTTGCCCACGCACATTCCAGAACTGTGACTTGATCACACGCACTCCCAGGGCCCAGACAAAAATCTCCTGGGAGCCTTGCTGAAGCACCCACACACCCAGAGCTCCCCCTCTAAGCAGGCCTTGGGGAGGAGAGGAGTTGCTCAGCTGTGGTGTCTCCTGATGTCACATCTCAGAGGTGAACTATAGGCCAGGCAGGTGTCTATATCTGCAAACTCATGGTACGCACATGGGTGACGTACCCTCACAGGCAGGTCTGGATGGGGACTAGGACAGACTGACCAGAGCTGTGTGCACATCCTGGCCAATTGGCTGTGACCTGCCATCCAGGGTGTGGTGGCCCCCACTTGTGACCACCTCTTTATATGGACATAAGTGGTCTTGCTTGGAGCCCTGGGAATACCACCTGCCTTAAGCTCTCTGGAAGTCCCACTGCCTCTTCTGGCTGCCTCTAGTGCCCTACACCTCAACCTAGCCTGATCTCTTCTCCTACTCCCACATTTTATTTGCTTCCTTCCTCTCTGAAATCACAGTCCAAGCTTCCCCATCCCTGGGCTCCAAGGTGGACATCTAGGAGGGCAGTCTCCAGCCCCATGGAGCTGGGCTTGGGGCCCTGGCCAGGAAGCTCGAAGGCACATAGCCCCTCTGTCCGTTCACATCCACGAGACTCCACTCTGGGTTCCCCTTCTTGTCGTGGGCTTCAAGGACTGTCACCGGCTGGCCAGCCTGCAGACTCACTTCATGGCTGCTTCTGGCCACAAAGGGGTACGCTGCTACCACCTGAAACAGGGAGGAGGGACACCGAGAAGGTCAAGGTGAGCAAGCAGACCTTGAAGCCCAGATAGGCCCTCTGTCCAGTTCCCTCTGCTGGATGCCATGACCTCCCACGTCCATTGTGTGTTAAGACAGGGACCACTGCAGTCAATACCCACTATGCAACAGGCATTGTTCTAGTACTTTACCTGGTTTGTGTTTTCACACCAATTCTGTAATGCTATTCACTCTATTTTTCCAATAAAGGTGTGAAGGTTCAAAGTCCAGGAACCAGTTCTAAATCACACAGCAGAACTATAATGTGCACTGAGAGGTCTGCCTGCCTCGGCCCACCACTGCCACCTCAGTGAGGTGAGGATGCACACCTTCCCCTTCCCCAGGTCTAACGCTTCTGCCTGCCCTGGTGGTTTCCTTGTGAAGAGGAGGGATGGAGGTTGGATGTCTTGGATACTGTTCAGGGAAAGGCTTTGAATACAGGGACAAGTGGAGTGAGGGGCATTTATTAGGCTAATACAGAATCCCTCTGAGCCTCAATGAAAAATGGAAATAATGCTATTCTTCCTCTGGGTAGTGGTAGAAATCAAATAAATGCTGGGGTTTCACAGTACCTGATACAAAGCAAAGGGGGCAGGAAGTGCAAGGTTTTTTCTATCATTTACTGTTACTGTTACTATTATTTGCTTTCTCATTTATTTTATTTCTTTCTCTTTTATTCTTACTGGTGGCTTAGTGATAAGAAGTTGCACTGCAATCCCAAAGGCACATGGTTCAAATCTCTCAGTTGCTCCCCAGGCGAAGGATGGGAGTCTCTCCCCCTTAATGCCTCTGAAAACCTTCTGGAAGGTCAGCCCTGAGCCAGTACCAATTCAACAGCGCACAGTAGCAACTACGAGTGAAGCCTCAGAGCAATAAGGAGGAAGGAAGGAGCTGATGTGTTTGGGCAGATGGGCAGCTGTGTCAAGGTAAAAGGCGATGGCAGAGTTTCCACCACCCCCATGGACGGTTCTGCAGGTCTTGGGACCCCAGGGAACTGCACCCCTCTCAGAAGACTGGTCCCCGTGCCCCGCTTTGGGCCTAAATTTTGGCTGCTCTAGCTGATGAGCAAAGATAGGACAGAGCAGCATGAACTCACATTCCCAAAGAACCTAGTGTGAGCAGAGCAGTGACCTGGCTCTCCATCCCCATGAAGCCCTGGGGTGGGGGCTCCTGGGGCACTCCTCTCCCAGCCCTTGGCAGCCACAAGCGTATGTCCTATCTCTCTGTATTGGTCTACCTAGACATTTAATAGAAATGGCTTTTTGTGACTGGATTCTTTCACTTAGCATGATGTTGTCAAGTTCTGGCCATGTTGTAGCTTGAATCAGTACTCTGTCACCTTGTTTATCAAAATAATATTACACCAGAGTCCCTGAGTCATGCATAAGATTAACATGTTCATCTGCTAACCAGGGAATTAAAGTGCAAGTTCATCTAAGAGGGTCCTTGGAAGAAAGGCTTGGTGACCTACTTTTTAAAAAAACCACTGAAATCCTATGAAGCACAATTCCACTGTGACACGCATGGGATTGCCAGGAGTAGGTCGGCTTGATGACAGCTCCCACTGTATAGGTGTGCATTGTAGAAATAAACATTTTGTTCATCTACTTACCAGTTTACGGACGTTAGGGTTGTTGCCATTTGGGGGGCTATTGTGAATAGTAACTACTATAGACATTCACATACAGGTCCCCACTGTCTTTAAGAGAAAGACTGATGTCCTTCTCAGACCACGAGGATCTGCCTCTCTTCAGCGACTCCTGATCCACATGACTCCTTGGCCTTCCCTAGCTACCCCAGCTCTGTCAGCTCCTCACACAGCCCTGTCCTTCCTGCCACTGGGCCTTTACGTGTACTGTGCACGCTCCCTGGAGAGCTCTTCTTCCCCATCTTCACCCCAGCACAGCCCCTCCATCATATCAATCCAGAAAAGTCACCAAGGGTCTCTTCTCCACCCAGGGCAGTTGTCACTTACTGTCGAGTCAGGACCAATTCATAGCTGACCCTCCAGTGAGTTTTCAAATGCAGTAAATCGCACATGGGTTGACTGCTTGTCTTTCTCCCATGGAGCAGTTGGCATAGCACACATGATTGCTATGTCTAATAAACATCCGTGGGATTATTTTACTCATCTCTGTACTCCCCATATCCGGAATTGGACATACGAGGCTAGCAAGGACAATAGTTTACTTGTGGCCATCATTATGTGGCTCGTCCAGCACAGGGTCTGACTGAATATGATTGGACTCATGAATGGACGGACAGAGGAAGCTTACTGGCCTTGCTGGTGGGAGGAGAGATACAAGGAGTTAGCTCTTTACCGATGGTGGGCAGGGGAAATCACACTGAAATGTGCCCCAGGACACATTTCCCCCAGTCCGTGCTTGGCCAACCTGGTGGTGCAGTTGTTGAGCACTTAGTGGCAAACTGAAAGTTCAGCAGTTCAAACCTATCTGTGGTTCCACAGGGGAAAACACTTGGGAATCTGCTTCCATAAAATTACAGTCTAGGAAATCCTCTGGGGCAGCGCTACTTTGTCCTGTTGTTGTTGTTGTTGGGTACCACTGACTCAACTTAAGCTCATGGCAACTCTCTCTCTTAAGGCCACTGTGATTTAGAATCAACTCAAAGGCATATAGCTCCCCACCCCACCCCCTGGTCAGGACATTGACATGTGACAGGTGTATGTGACAGAGGAGGAAAATCAAAGCCTGAGGACAAGGGACCATGGGAGGCATGCCCTCCTCCCTCTACTCACCTGGGTCACGGCTGGTACAGAGGAAACTGGGGCTGCAGTGGGTTCTGGAGTTAGAGGTCGGGGGTCCTCATGTGGACCCGCCTGCCACTTGAGCTCTTCCTCATTGGGGACAACATGGTAAAGTTCCAGTTTCCCAGCAGGCAAATACCCCCGCTGTCCTAGGGAACACACAGAGCATTATTCCACCACTGGCCATCTTCACCACCCATGGCAGGGGTTGGAGGCAGTCAATGGATGCAAATACCGCCACCACTCAAGGTCATCTCAGAACCTCAAAAGCAAGCCTCCTTCCCACCACTTACTATCTCTAGCTTTGCTTGCAGAGGACTCATTCCCTATGAAGGCAGCTTGCTCCGTGAGAAGAGCCCTACACAGCAGCTCTTCCTGGGACTCCTTTCCTGGTGCTGACATCGCTGGCCCCTGCTCTCCTCTAGTGGCCGTTCAGGCAAGACTATTCCTCTCCTGGCACAGCCCTTCTCTCCAAGCACCCCAAATCCTCCTAATGTAGTAACTACTGTTGTTGTTCTAGTTGCTGTCCTTACCAATGGCCACCACTTCCAGAGAGCTTGCTAGGGGCTAGGAAGAGCATTTAAGAATCTAGTCTTCACATCAACACTGAAAGGATGGCTCCGTTACCTGTTTTACGGTTGACTCAAGGAGTGGGGAAGGCCACGTACTTCCAAGATCCTGCAGTTAGCAGAAAGCCAGGACGGGGACTCCTTGGCCCCAGGGGTCTTACCTGAAATCCCCATTTCCCCAACTGGACTCATGAGAGTACCCCTCTGTGATTTCAGCTTAATCAGGACTGTTTAATTAGCTTTTTAATAGATCTACTTTAAAAAACGTTGCCATGTACTACTCAATAAAATGAAGAAAATTACTGGTGTATGGACTTATTTTAGAGTTTTATAATACATAATAAAATAAAAATCAGTAACAGCTCCTCAATCTAGTCTTTAGGGAAGAAATATCTGGGGGGTGGGGAGGGTGTAGTGGTGAAGGGAATGAGTCCCTGATTGGTACAAAGGGGCCCCTGAGTGGCACAAAGAGTTAAGATCAGGACTATCGAAATATCAATGGTTCAAATCTATCCAGGGCACCTCAGAATAAAGGCCTGGTGATTGGCTTCTGAAAGGGTACAATAATGAGAACTGTGGAAGGCACTGAAACACATGGGCTCACCAGGAGTCAGAAACCATTGAGTGGCAACTTGGTTTGGTTTGGGATTTGGATGTTACAAATATTTACACTGTTGGCTGCTAAGTGAAACAGTGGAGGTTTGAGTCCATCCAGAAGCGCCTCAGAACAAAGGGCTGGTGATTGACATCCAAAACATCAGCAACTGAGGACCCTCTGAAGCACCATCCCTGTCTGGCTTACATGAGGTCACACCACAAACCAGAGTTAAGAAGGGCCTGGATTGTTTCATGTATAGAAGGAAACTCTACACAGATCCTCTTAATAATAATCCAGTGTAATGCTTATTTTGTGGTCTCATGCTCCAGTTTGGGAGAATGCTGCATTCTGCTGGGCCTCACAACCATCTCCTCCTACAGGACCACCACATGGGGTATCCACGTCTGAGCAGCAGCATGACCCAAGGGGGTGTGGAGGGGCAGGATAATCTCCTCCCTCATTCTGGACATCAGGCTTCTATTAATGTAGCCAGAATCCAAGTATACAATGAAACTTTCAGGGTGATGCTGATACCATTTATGAGGTTCCTAAAGCAGGGTTCTCATATTACTTGCAGGGGGCTCAACACACCATACGTGCTTGATAAGAGATGCTTTAAAGAAAGACTGGCTGCCTCTTGATGGTATTTCACTTACTGCTGAGTCATGCTGAGTCCTACACTTCGTCACAAGCCCTGCATTTCTCACATGGGCTAATTCCCGTCCTGCACTGACACAGCCAGATTCTGGCCCAACAAGAGTGCTCGTGTCCCCCCCCATTAGCTTCCTTCGAATGGATTCCCAGAGAAAAAAAGAAAGGGGTGCCATACGTACCACCAGTGTCCACCAGCCAACGGCTACTATTGCCTTTGGTGTCCTTGTTTTGAAGGAGGGCCACAACTTGGCCCCGTGGTAGTGTCAGGTCCAGCGTCCCAGTCCCACTGATGTTGCTGGTCACCTGGTACAGCTTCCCAGGGCCATACTTGCTCAGGAGGGCCTGCACCTGGCGCTCGGCTCCCGGGAGGAGTGGCTGTGGAGGGGAGGGACGGAGACAGTAATCGAGGTTCAGATTAGGGCAGAAAGTCAGCCCCAAAGTTTGTTCACACGCAGAGAACGAACAGTCCTACCTCGGCAGTTCACGGCTATGTCACCCTAGGCAAGAGCCTATCCTGATTGCAACAACAGTTCCCTCTCTAACTGGTGACTGGTCGATGAGAAATACTTGTTCTTAGCACCTAAAAGGGAGCTCTGGAGTATTGGGAGTTACGCTGCTCATCTAAAGGCTGCACCTCTCTGGCGATTCAAATCCACCAGAGGCTTCTTGAGAAAAAAATGGCCAATATCCACCCTGGCGATTTACAGCCTTAGAAACTTTCCTGAGGGGCAGCTAGCTACAGGTTGGTCCTGACTCCACAGCAATAAATGAGTGTCAGTCACCTTGGTGGTGCAGTGGTTAAACGGTTGGCTAGTAACTGAAAGCTTAATGGTTCAAACCCACCCGTTACTCCCAGGAGAAAAGACCTGAAGATCAGCTTCCATAAGAGTACAGCCTGGGAAACACCACATGGCAGTTCTACTCTGTCCCACAGGGTCACTGCAAGTTGGAACTGACTCGATGTGGTGTCTGGGTCTTTGTTTAGAAACATGGTCTTTTTCACTTGTTATAAAGTTAAGAAGAGGTCATGGTGGATTGTGGGGTCCCCTAATCCAATGGATGGTATCTTTTTCTTTTGGGGGGAGGGTGGAATCTTTATAAGGGGGCATTTAGACACAGAGACCCAGGAAGCAGAGGCTAGAGACTGCAACGACCCATCTGTAGTGGATGGAATTGTGACTCCCCGAAATGTCTGCTGAATTCCTGGCCCTTGTAACCGTGAATGCTTGGAAACAAGGTTTCCTTTTTATATGTTCATGAAAACATTTCGGTAGAGGAACGCCTTAGGTACGGAGTGCTGCTGTAACACAAATACCTCAAGTGGAAAGAGCTGCATCATCGTCCACAGGGATGCTGGGAGTGGGAACCAACTTGACAGCACTGAGCAACAGCAATGACGGAGACAGCACCCGTGTAGGGTGGATCCTCCCCCTAATCGTTTCTGAGTTATAAAATGATCAAAACAGACACACACATGTACATATACATGGGGTAGGAGAAGCCACAGGAGAATCAATGATAAGGCGAGGAACACCGAGGACTACTAGCAAGAAAGGAATCCATCTACCTTAGACCCTGCGTTAGATATCCAGCTTTTAGAACTGAGACAGTGAATTGGTTTTTCGAGCCGCCCACTGTGGTATTTTTGTTAGAGCAGCACTGGATCACTAAAACAGCCTGCAAGACAAGGGGGCACCAAGGGCTGTCAGCATCACCTGTGGGGAGGCAGCACACGTGGATAGCTCAGTGCTTCCAGGAGGAAAAACCAGTGCAATGTTAGCCTGAGCGTGACAGCCTGTGGAGAGCAAACATTTGCCTTTTTTTCTGAAGTCTGGCAGGGCCCACCTACGCAGGGAACAACAGCGCACCATGGAAGGCTGCAGAGGATGCAGAATGCAACGTTCTATCCAGGGGGGTTCTAGTCCTGAGTGGCCAGTTCAGTTCTGCGGAGTTTGGAGGTGGTGGTGTTGGGTGCTATCATACCAGTTTTGCCTTCCAGCAACCCACACAACAGGGAAGAACTGCTCAGTGGAATTTCCTTGACTGTAACCTTTTAAAGTATAGATTTCCAGGTCTTTCTCCCACCCAGCTTAGAACGATGTACTTTTCAAGTAGACTTAAGAAACACCTTCCTCACCTTTTTAAGAAATACTTTTTTTAGAACTTGGAATTATAGCTAAGTGGATTTGAGAAAATAAACCTGTTTATTAAAGACACCCATTTGCAGTGTTTCTATTATAGTGGCACTAGGAAGTTGGGACAGAAGGCTACCAGGAAACTCTGGAAAAATGAAGCAAAAGGAAAAGGAGAATTGAGTCTCACCAGCCGGCAGTCTAGAGCAGCCTTTTGGGGCACTCACTCACTTGTATGGTGGGAGGTGGCTGCACTTTCTCAAAGTTCTCTCGGAAGGAGCGCAGCTGGTCACCAGTCTGGCCAAGCACGTCTTCCACAAGCTTCCTGAAGTCAGGTTCCGAGACACGGTAGTGGGGCAGCTAAGAGGGGGACAGACATCATCAGGAGAGCTTACTTTGGAAGAGAGGGAAGAGAACCCTCGAACCTACTAGCCCCAGGTGCATTAAAATGCCCTTTATTGTCATGGCCACCTGTTGTTTTTTGTCTGTCTACTATCTCAACACTCTTGGCACCAGCAGTCAGGAGAGCAAAAGACAAATTACCTTAGGGAAATCTGCTGTCAGAGCTCTCTCCAAAGTGCTAAAGAGCAAAGATGTCCATTGAGAGACTAAGGTGCACCTGATCCAGGCCATGGTCTTCACAATTACTTGTTATACATCAGAAAGAGGGACAATGACTAAGGATGGGAGAAGAATTGATGCCCTAGAGTTATTTATGGTGCAGGAGAAGAGCATTGAACATACCATGGATTGCCAGAAGAACAAATAGGTCTGTCTTGGAGAGGGTGAAACCAAGTCTCTCCTTGGAAGCTAGGAGTTTGAAGCTCTGTTTCACATATTTTGGGCACATGGCCAAGAGGGACCAATACTTGGAGAAGGACATCAGGCTCAGAAGGGTGAAGGGACAGCACAGGAGAGGAAGACCCGGATAAGGTGGATTGACCTGGTAACTGGGACAATGGAGGAAGGCGTGTCGGACTCAGTGAGACTGGCTCGGGACAGGGCAGGCTTCAGTGCTACTGTACATAGTGTCACTATGAGTCACAGGCAACTTCCATGGCACATAACAACTACCCCAAAATTCCTTTGAGACCAGGTCCTTTTACTCAAACAGACTCTTGCACACAAATGTTCATTGCATCACTAGTCACAAAAAGTGGAAAAGTGAACTTTCAGTAGATGAATGGATGCCTAGAATGTGCTACACACACAGTGAAATATTACTCAGCCATAAAGAGACATGAAGCCCTGGTACATGCTGGCACGGATGAATCTTGACAACACAGTGCTGAGGAAAATAAGTCAGTTGTAAAGGAATAAATATTGTATAGTCCTACCTATGGGAAATTAGAACTCCAGTGGGCTGGTGGATAAGGTGTTGCGCTGTCAACCCAAAGGCAGGTAGTTCAAACTTACAAGCTGTTCCTTGGGAGAAAGATGGGCCATCTCCTCCAGTGCAACTTACTATCACTGAAAACCCACTGGAGGGTCGTCTACAGGCTGGCTGTGACTCGACAGCACATAACATAATAACATAGCATAGCATAGCATAACATAACATAACATAACATAACATAACATAACATAACATCACATCAACTACATATGAAATATCTGGCTATTCCTGTCGCTGTGCCTGAGCTTGATACCCTCTGGGTCTCCCAGTCAATAAATTCTTCTCACACTTACACTGGTGTGATTTGGGCTCCTGTTACTTGTAACCCAAGGCATCCTGACTAACGCTCCCTCCTAAGACGCTAACTAACTCTGTTAAGAATCTCAATAGTCAATCTTGGGTTAAGCGAGACCACATGGTGGACAGATACATGTACTCTCTGCCTGTCATCAAACTCAAAGGTTCTTGCTTGTGACACTAAGACATCTGTCTACCCCTTAGATGCAGTAGATTAGGGTTTCTACCAGGTAAGCTCTGCAGGCACTGAAATAGGAAACTGACCTTGGGACCCAGCAAGGCAGTGGGAGCCAATCCCTAGACCTCAGCATCCTATACTAAAGAACCAGACAGTGCATGGCATCTGAATGTCCTCATTTTGTTGTTAGTAGATGCCACTGAGTCAATTATAACTCATAGCGACACAAGATCTGAACCTTGCCCCATCCCAGGCCATCCCCACCATCTGATCCACCCAAGCCCACTGTTACAGTCATTGTGTCAATCTGTCTTGAGAGTATCCTCTCTTACACTTTTCCACCTTTCCCAGCAGGATGTCTTTCTCCAAGGATTGGTCCCTCCTGACAACATGCCCGAAGTATGTGAGGCAAATCTCATCATTCTTGCCTCCAAGGAGCACGCTGGTTGCCATCATTCTATGCTTTGTAAAGCTCATCTCCCTGAGAGTTGGCATCCCACAACCCTCCCCAGACTTGCACATTTCAGCCTATATATGAGGTGTCTGGCAGCCCTAGAGAGAAAACTTGAGGTCTGGAGGAGAGCAAAGAGATCACAAAAGAAATTCACACTTCGGCCTTCTAGAAAGATGGTGTTCTTGTTGTCAAGTCAATTCCAGTTCCTGGAGACCCCATGTGCACAGAACAGAAGTGCTCCACAGAGTGTGAGGCTGGGATACTTCAGAAGCAGATGGCATGTCTGTCTTCCAAAGAAACCAGCATGGGCTCGATCTACCAAACTTTCAGCTAGTTGTTGGGCACTTAGCCGCCTGTACCTCCCAGGGACTCCTGAGGAAGAGAAATGCTTATTTTTGTGGGGTGACCTAATTTAGTCCAAAGAGTATCTGAGGTAGAACCCTGTACAAAGAACTGCTGAGGGCCAAGAAGAGAGGAAACCTTGGTGTTAGCCTTCTTCAAGGAGAAAAATCTTTATCAGCCAGCCAAGCAGAAATGCTTACAGGACATTTTAAGAGCTGCTGCATGAGGGATGGAGAGGTGAACTTGCCCTTTAAGAAGGAAGATTCTTAGGCTTTGGGCTTCTTGGTGACTCATCCATCCATCACACATCTGAGAGCTCCCACTGTGTACCAGACACTGAGAAGGGGAGGGGGGAAGATGATGGAGAGGGACTTTCCAGGCTGAGGGAGGACTGTGTGAAGGAGATACAGCCCACTGTACTGCAGGGGAGGGGCTGCAGCCCAGTGTGGGCTCTGGATGGGTGAGTAGAGGAGAACAATAGAGGAATGCTCATGCAAAAGAGTGGATGGGGAAAGCTGAGCCCAGTTAAGAGGCAACAAGAAGCTAGGAGCCAGATGTGGAAGCCCTCTGGGATGCAACATGAAGAGCATTTCAATTGCTTCTCAGGTCAGGCCTATAGGTCACTCAGCTCTGATTTCGACATCAGAGAAAAAGAGAAAGATCTGGAAGCAGTGAAGCAGTCCTTTCTAAATCAATCTCCATCTTCAGAATTCCACAATCAAAGATAGGCCATGGAGGTTTGTCAAGCGTCTGTCATTTTCCCATGCTTCCCCTTCAGAGCCACCCACTGTGAGCACTGTGATTCAGAGCCCACACTCTGAAGTTTAGCCACCAGGGCACAAGTCTTATTCTTTGCTGTGTGGCCTTGGACAAGTTGCTGTGCCTCTCTGTGCCGTGGTGTCCTTATAGATGAAATGAGGATAGTAAGGCGTTGCAGGATTGTGGGGAAGATTAGTGAGATAATGCAAGAGAAGTGCTCCCAGCAGGCACCCAGGAAGCCCTCAAGAGTCTGAGACGGCTGCTAGAAGTCAAAGCAGCAGTAACACCAGGTTGAGGCATTTACTCTTGACTGTTTTCAAGGAAATCCCCTGTCTCTTTTAAACTTTTGAACAGGCCAGGAATTGGCCTGCACTCTGCTATTTCTCCAGTTCCTCTCCAGAGTCATCCCAGTCACCCCAATGCCATCCTTGCTTCCTACTCCATGAACCAGGAGAGGTCAGGAATGAGGGATACTTAAAAGGTTTCCACTGACTCCCCCTCAGCCCTGAATGGCTGTTTGGAAGGCTCAATTTCATTCCATTACAGCTCCTGCAAACAGCTGATTCATGAGGTTGTGAGGCCCTGACTGCCCACTAGCCAGCAGTGGCCCCATCTAAGAGACCTTACCTGGACTGAGCTGCTCTCCGCTCTCTGCAGTGCTTGCTTTGCAAAGTCCTGCTGTAAGACCACAAAGGTGCGCAGGATCTGGCCCAGCCACTGCATGCTCAGCTGGTTAAACTTGGGGAGCTCAGCTACCAGCAGAGAGTTGAGTGCCTGGTACGTGTGCCGGACAGCCTCCTCCTCATAGGTCACGCTGCCCACCTCCAATAGCTTCTCTTCCAATCTCTCAAAGTCCAGCAGTTTGTCCAGGCGTTTCTTGATAAGGTTTTGAGGACCAGCCAGGGCTTTGGACAGACTGCACAGGGGTCGCCAAACCAGCTGTTCCAGACGCTGCTTCTGTAGAGAGAGGTGAGCATGGGAGCTTTCAAAGAAGGAGGCAGCGGGGTGGGGAAAGGTTTGAGTCTGGGATAAAAGGCTGGGGAGACAAGCAGCAATCCAGTCCTGCCCCTAATGACCAGCTGTGCTCTTTTAGCATGTTATTTAACCTCTCAGTGCCTCAATTTTCTCATCTGGAAAATGGGAACATTGCATGCAAAATTAGCTTAGAGTGCATTGCACAGAGTAGGCATTCAGGATGTGCCAGTCCTTAGTATCTTGGGGCTTATATCCCATCCTGCCACTATCCTTCTGAATGATCTGGGAGGTCACCCTTTCTGAGTCCAAAATTCTCACATGAGGAGTACAACTGTTCATTGTTTCTTCCCTATAACGTGCATTGTGAGGACTAAATGAGCCACAGAATCTAAAGTGTCTAACACACCAGCAGACAGACTCAGGAAAGGTGAAAACCTGTTGCCAGCAGGCCAATTTTGACTCATGGTGACCCCTTGTGTGTCAGAGTAGAACTGTGCTCCTTTGGGTTTTTTAAAGTAGATTAACAGCCCTTTCTTCCAAGGTACTTCTGGGTGACTCAATCCTCCAACCATTGGTTAGCAGACTATGTTAGGTCATGATAGGTGACATGACGGACTCACAACAAATGTAGCTAGGGTTATTTTGATCAGTAAAATGCAGCAGTAACAATCTCTGCCCTGTTGGCAACCCAAGTTTGTTATGGGTGTGACAAGAATGTAAGGTTCATGCCTTCTAACTATTATACCTGTAGGTTCTGTCACTAGCCTAACCAGAGAGAGAGAGAGAGAG